TCTGACGTGGGATTCTGTAGCAGATGACAGTGGGCCTATCGCTTTTTCTCAACCATCCTGAACACCTCCTCTGTAAGCCAGGGTCTCTTTGGAGGTCTGGACCGCGTACCCAAAGCAGCCATTGCAGCTGCATGAGTCACGGTCCTAAACCTCGCCTATTTACCTTCGACATCAGGAAGAGTCGGGGACGATGCCAATCCCAGCCGCAAGCGATGATGAAATTCTCGCTTGTAACTTTCATCAGATAACTGAGACCAGGCCACTTTAGGTTGGAATGGCGTCCTGGGTGTACACCCACCACCAGAGTGGAAGAATGGCAGGCGTATCTTACAGATGACCAGTCGATGGTCAGAGGGCAGATCAGCTCCATGGTAGGTCCTGGTGTCAAGGACATGGGCTCGCATCCGCTGGTCCGTCACTATGTAGTCCAGCAGATGTTCTTGCTTGGACCCGGCATGCATCTATGATGTTGTGTGGATGCGCCGATGCCGGAACTGCGTGTTGGTGATTACAAGCCCATGGGCTGCACAAAAATCTAGCAGCCTCCTACCGTTGTTATTGAGCTGATCTGGCCCATGCCCTCCAATCACTCCAGACCAGTTGCCAGTATCATGACCAACTCGGGCATTGAAGTCACCCAACAAGATAACTCTATCCCGAGGGGCCACTTTAGCCAGCACCTGTGACAGGATGTCATAGAAGGCATCTGACTCATCAGCTTTGCCTGCATCCCTCCACGGATGTTCGTCTTCATTGGGAACATAAGTAACCACGACCACCACACCCTGTTGTTTGGCAATCTGCTGCCCCGAGTAGAGGACTGTCCATCCCTCATGGTGGCAGGAGCCAGAACCGGTCCACCAGACCTCCTGAATGCCACAGAGATCCAGGCGGTACCGGTCCAGCTCCCGACAGAGGAGTAGCAGCCTCTCTTCCGCAGTGAGCGTTCGAACATTCCACGTGGCCATCCGTAGTGGCTTTTCGTTGTTTCTGGAGGAGCCCCGAGGGTAGAGATTCAATCTCCTGGCTCCGCCAATTGGGGTTTGGCCAGGAGACGTCATAGACGCCTGTCCCCCCGGGGCCTCTGGCACAAGCTTATTAGTTTCATATTTCATTCGTAGTTTAGTGGTAATTAATTGAAGGTGGAGGGGTTACCAGCCCCTCGCACCTGCCCAGAGCCCCTGTTTAGCCACTGTGGTGGACACAGACGCCATGAGGGGAGGAGCCAATCGGAATTGGCCCTCCCCCCACAGCACTGTCCACGACAGAGTTGCCCGTCCGGCACCGCGAGGAGGTAGGGGGTTGTTTTGCCGGACCACACATACACAAAAACAACAACAGCCATTCGCCACTAAGTGGCGGTGACGTCACCACGACGCTTGTGCCAGGCTATGTGCACCCTGAGGCCACGTGAAGTGTCGAACGCCCGCTGGCAGGAGGTCACGGGGCAGACCCAGGTGCCACGGGTCGACTGACTGAGATGACTGGCTGATGCACCACCTGTGCCCCCTACTGTGCCAACCTGCTGTGCTTTAGCCACCCGGCGCTCCGCTCGTTGTTGTGAGCGTCGCTCCTCCGCCCTCCGTTGTTGTTGGAGGGCGACTGCCTCCAACTGCCCAGTAGCGTCCTTCACGAGCCTCCTCCACAGAGACCGACCTTGACACCGCTGGTACCAGTCATCGGCATATATGCACATACATACACATACACACACTGACACACATACTGACACACACAAACAGTCATACACACACAAACAGTTATACACACACATACTGACACACACAAACAGTAATGCACACACTGACACACATAACCAGTGATGCACAACTGACACACGCATACACACAGTCATACACACACTGACACACAAACAGTGACCCCCCACAGTGACCCCCACAGTGACACACACTGATATACATACAGGGAGAGAGATACACACAGTGAAACACACTGATATACATACAGGGATAGAGATACACACAGTGATACGTACAGGGAGAGAGATGCTGACACATACACAGTGATACACACAAACAACAAAGACAAAGCTATCCTGTTTCGCCTTAACAGACTTTTGGGAAAAGTGCTGTTAGCACGCACCGTACCGACACACACATAAACACTGACATACACACACAAACACACATAAACACTGACATACACACACAAACACATAAACACTGACATACACACACACACACGCGCGCGCATGCTGACACATACACAATGATGCTTACATCAACACGTGAACAATGATACAAATACAAAGATCCCCCGTATAGCCTTTGACAGATTGTTGGGACAAGTGCGGTTGGCGAGTAGCACCTATGAAGACCGGCACACGAGGGGGCGGGCGGCCAGTACCACGCCCGACCGCCTTTGTCTCCCCAGTGGCGATGTTTACACACCGCAACAGGTCATAATTTGGGTCTAAGTCGACCTAGGGGAGGCCCAGGATCGGTTCAGATGGTCATCGCCGGTGTTGGCCGTGAGCGGGAATCGAATTCGGTTCGCCGGGTTTCGTAGCGCAGCGTAGCGCTAACCACTACACCACCGCTCCCCACACACACACACCCAGGCATACTGGCATTTAACCAAATAGATAGCACGCTGATGTACATATGCACACGGGCACACAAGCATACACGTGCAGGCATAATTACATACAATCCTCAACACACACATGCGCACACACACGCAGACATACTGGCAGTTAGACATACGAACACACATGCAAAGCAAACTCGGTGACAGACAAAGACAAACACAGACATGCGCAAACATACTTACAGACACAGATACACGTACAAAGGGAAACGTACCGACAGATAAAATGATAATATTAAGCCCAGCACGGCGAACAAAACGCGGTGTGGCAAACCCCACTGCCTTTGTCTCCCCAGTGCATTTAAGGCTGAGTCGACCTAGGGGACGCCCAGGGCCGGGTTCAAATATTTCGCCACTGTGAAACGCTCGGGAGCGACAATCGAACTCCAGCGCAGTGCGCTAACCATTGCGCCACCGCTCTCACACCCACACACACAGATATCCCCCGTATAGCCTTGACAGACTGTTGGGGCAAGTGCTGTTAGCGAGCGCCTATGAAGAGCGGCACGGCACACGAGTTGGGTGGGGTGGCCAGCACCACGCCCGGCCGCCTTTGTCTCCCCAGTGGCGACGTTTACACACCGCACCAGATACTCATTTGAGGCTGAGCCGACCTACGCGAGGCCCCAGGACCGCTTCAGATACATCGGTGGCCGTGCGCTGGACTCGAACTCGGGCGGCCGGGTTCGTGGCGTGGCGTAGCGCTAACCGTTGCGCCACCGCTCCCACCCCACCCCCACGCACCCACACAGAAACACCGAGCGCGAGCCACAATCATGCCGAGAGGTCGTGAGGTCACACGCAAGACCACGCATGCAGAAGCCACGCAGAGGGGGGGGGGTCACTGAAAGGGGTCCGCGGAAGGCCCTGTACTTGATCTGTCTGGTCATCACTCTTTAGTTCTTTCGGTAAAGTCACGTAGGTATCAAATGAAATAAATTAAATCACGACGTTTCGATTGCAACACAAGCAATCATCATCAGGTGGGAAAACCACAGCAATAATTTTTTTGCTGAATTATGGCTCCCTGCAGTCACGAAAACTTCAAATCTAGGTCTTCGTTTAACCACAGAGCGATATGCCCTGTGCCTTTGCACATTAAACAGGCGTGTGGCGTTTGAGAAATAAGGATGGGTTTTACCCGTTCTGGCAATAAAACACTTGATTTGAAGCTTTCGTGACTGCAGGAATCCATACTCTTTGGTTCTTTCGGTAAAGTCACGTAGGTAGAAAAATAAAACACTTGTTAAGATGTCCAGACACCAAATAGATACATTTGGCGTTAACAACATTCGTCACTAATTGGCGGTGACCTCACCATGGCGTTTGTGCCAGGCTATGTGCACGTTAAGGCCACGTGAAGCGTTGAACGCCCACTGTCAGGAGGTCACGGGACAGACCCAGGTGCCATGGGTCGCCTCGACGATGCACCACCTGTTGTCCCCTTACTGTGCCAACATGCTGTGCTTTAGCCACCCGGCGCTCCGCTCGTTGTTGTGAGCGTCGCTCCTCTGTCCCCCCGTTGTTGCTGGAGGGCGACTGCCTCCAACTGCCCAGTAGCAGCGTCCTTCACGAGCCTCCTCCTTGTGCATCAGCCACGCACACACTCGCGCCGTTCCATCTCGGAGTGTAACATTTGCAAGGGGCATCCGTTCCACGCGGGAGCACTCCGATTCAAGGGGAAACCCGACTCTGGTGCTGATGAGACCCTGAATGCCGAAACCGGTCCAAAAGTTGTGCTCGTGCCGATCCAATTCTGCGGTAAACGCTGCACTCCCCCGGTAGGACATGCGCCTGATGGGATGTGTAAAGACAAACGCTCGCCGCTGTTATTGATCATGAGCGGGAATGGAACTCGGGTCGCCGAGTTCGTAGCGCAGTGCACCAACCACTACAACCACCGATCTCCCACAAAGAGAGAAAGATTCCCCCTACCCCCGTATAGCCTGTGACAGACTGTTGGGGCAAGTGCTATTAACGAGCACTTATGAAGGCCGGCACGGCACACGAGGGGGTGGGTGGCCAGCACCACGACGTCCGGCCGCCTTTGTCTCCCCCAGTGGCGACGTGTACTCATCACCACCAGGTTACTCATTCGAAGCTGAGTCGACCTAGGCGAGGCCCACGACCGGTTCAGAAAAATCGTCACTTTGTGTTGACCGTGAGCGGGAACCGACCTCGCGTCACCGGTTTCGTAGCGAAGTGTGCCAACCACTACACCCACCGCTCCCCCACGACACACGCACACACACACACATCACCCCCCACCCTCCACCAACTCCCACCCCACCCCCTCCCTCTGCCCACCTCTTCCATAACCAATGAACGCCATCGGCCACCCCACCAAAAGCGGCTATATAACCGCGTCCCGCGCGCGCTGGTTCAGGCACTGTCGCTCTCTCTCTCTCTCGCTCCTCCCCTCCCACCTCTCTCTGTGTTTGCGTGCGTGCCGCGTTCCGTGTGCGTGAGTGCAACAGGCGTCGTGTGCGAGCAGAGCGTTCAGACTACGAGTCTTCGCACGCGACAGCGGGGGGGCGAGGCGGTCCCGACAAAAGCGGTTTCCTGCACCCTCCCCATCCCTCCCTCCCTCCCACGTCTCGCGCTCACCTGGATCTGCTGCAGGTGAGCGGCTGAAAGCAAGCGAATGGGTCCTGTTTGAGTTTCTTAAACGCGCGTACATATTGCGCGTGTTCTGTGCGCGCGCGTGTGTGTGTGTGTTGCAGCAGATGGGATTTAACAGAAATATACCGTAGTTTTTAATTTGTTTTACTCGGTGAGAAATCGAAACTGAACCAGGGATTGTTCATAGTCACATTCGCAAGAGAGATCGAGCTGGCTACCCATAGATCCTGTAAGGCATCCCACGCCAAAGTGGCGAGCTCGGCACGGATAAAGGGGCAGACCTGCAATGGCGCGCTGCTATTCTCCGACTGCAACCAAAATCCGAGCGTGTTTCAACACGGCGACGTGAAACAAGATCGTATTCCGAATTGTGAAATGATGTAGTGGGTTTTTCTCTCCAACACACCGGTGTGCTGTACTAGTAACTGGTACTCAGATTGTAAATGTTGTGGATTTGCCCTCCAACACACCGGTGTGCTGTACTAGTAACTGGTACTCAGATTGTAAATGTTGTGGATTTGCCCTCCAACACACCGGTGTGCTGTACTAGTAACTGGTACTCAGATTGTAAATGTTGTGGATTTGCTCTCCAACACACCGGTGTGCTGTACTAGTAACTGGTACTCAGATTGTAAACGTTGTGGATTTGCTCTCCAACACACCGGTGTGCTGTACTAGTAACTGGTACTCAGATTGTAAATGTTGTGGATTTGCTCTCCAACACACCGGTGTGCTATACTAGTAACTGGTACTCAGATTGTAAATGTTGTGGATTTGCCCTCCAACACACCGGTGTGCTGTACTAGTAACTGGTACTCAGATTGTAAATGTTGTGGATTTGCTCTCCAACACACCGGTGTGCTGTACTAGTAACGAATTGTCCACGTTTTGTTTACGTGACAAACCTTGCTAATTGGCTGTGTCGGGAGGTGGCGGGTTTTAAGGCCACATTTATATATTTACGCGATCTAACCCCAAAAAAACCCTCTATTATGGATATTCTTTGCCACGAAAGCCCAAACCGCGTGTTAAACTGACGTGAAGCAGCATGCCGCGCCTTAGTCCATCGCGCAGGCTTCTTGGCTCATTTTTTATCCAGCAGCGTCTACTAAAAGCCAAAATGCCAAAGCCACGGAGCAGTTTCGGCGTTCAAGTGTCGCATCAGCAGATTTGGGGGCTTGCGTTTAAGACTACGTCGCTCGCGTTGTTAATTGTGCTCGATGTTACCCGGCAGATGTTTGCTTTAAGCGAGAACAAAACAAACTCTGCACAGGTTTCGACTTCCTGGGTCTCATCAGCAGGGCTAGGCTCATTTCAAACAAATGCTTCGCGGTTATCGGTTGGGTAGATGACAATACCGTGCACAGAAACGATCATGATGAGTATCGTTATACTACGTGGTCATATCCTGCGTGGTGATGCAATTATTGTGCAGAATTGCTTCTGAAATATACAAGTTGCAAAAAAACAATCTGCAGCCTTGAAACGAAAAATAAAAATGCAATCCCGACGCTGCAGCCTCAAACGGGGGTGGGGGGGGGGGGAGTGAATAACTGGCGACGTTTCGGCTATTGACCCTTGTTCACAGCGCATCGAGAGGGTCCTGTGTGGTTAGGGGAGTTACGTTCAGCCCTGTGTGATTGTGCTGCCGCTGCTGTGGCTACTGATGCGAGACGATCGCGTTTATTGTCGCCAAATGTTGGTCCGATCTACGCAGAGCGTTGAGCCCTGGTGGACTAGTGTCTGGATGGGCGACAGCCGTTCACTAAAACGTTTGATTAACAAGTGCTCCAGGCTACTGCTGCTACTATTGTGCTACGCTGTGTGGCAGCAGAGAGGTGCAGCACTGTGCTGGATGAACCTAGTGCGGGACCTTAGGCATATGATGCAGTAAATGGACCCTACATTTTTTTTTTAAAACACATGAATATTAAAACACACATTTTTTACTTGCATAGTAAATTATTTTTATTTGCTATACAGCCAGGTAATACGACAAATCGCTAATCTTAAAACACCCAGTGGTTCGTAAAAGTTGAAGGCGGTATAGCACTATAGTAATAGAGCACGTGCAGAATCACTGAACTAGCATTGATCGTTTGAAAGCATTTAGCGCGGGGCCCTTGAAAGTGCGGGCCCCGTAGCATACGCAGCTACTTTTGCTACGAGGATAATCCGGCACCGATGCAGCGGCATTCATTGCTGTACCGTGGCGTTCCCGCGTCCATGTGCCGCTGCGCTTCGGCGTAGCGTGGTGAAGTATGGTTAAGATGCACCACCGCGCACCATGTACGGAGGAGGCCCTCGTCCAGCAGTGGATCGACGGCGCGGGGCTGTACATGTGCGCCTTATGCCGTCGCACGCTGTAACACCGGCGACGATTATCTGAACCGGTTCTGGGCCTCCCCTAGGTCGACTCGGCCTCAGATGAGTACCTGGAGACAAAGGCGGCCGGGCGTGGTATTGGCCACCCGTGGCCGGCCTTCATAGGTGCTACTCGCTAGCAGCACTTGCCCCTGCAGTCTTTTAAGGCTACACGGTGGGGGGGGGGAGGGTCTTTGTTGTACGCTGTGGTTCTGGCGACTTTGGTGGAGCGCGTTTCGTGAGCCGTGCGGTCGATGTCAGTGGGGAGCGGTGGTGCAGCGGTTAGCGCGCGAGTTCGATTCCCGGATCACGGCCACCACCAACGCCAGTGACGATGATCCCAACTGGTGCTTGAGCCATCCCCTGGGTGTAGACATCCACCGCTGGGGTTTCTGGCCACCCTCTCGTGCGCCGCGCCAGCCCTTCGTAGCTGCTCGCTAGCAGCCCTTGCCCCAAACGCCTAGTGGAGGCTATCCGGGTGACCCTTGCCTTGATTGCGTTTAAATTGTTCAACCGAGGCGGAGGAGGAGGAGCGGTGGTTAGCGCCCTGCGCTAAAACCCGCCGAGCTGCGTTCAATCGCCGGCCGGTGGCGAATGCGTGAACAGGCCAACTGGGCCAGAAACGATTTAACCCAGGGCTGCGTGAACGCATCGCTATCGACAATTGCTGCGGAGAGACAAAGGCGGCAGGCCGGGCGTGGTTTAGTTTTTTTTTCCGCGGCCACACCACTCTCATTCACGTATACCCGATCCGATAAAAAAATGGTGCTCGCTACGTGACGGAAACTTTGCTCGCTAACAGCACTTGCCCCACGTGCTGGTGGGAATGGGGGATATTTGCCTTGGTCTAATCGTTTAAAATATAAACATATATACATTATTTTTCATCGCATTGCTGCAAAGAATTATTACACACTTGACGGGGCTGTTTCCTACGTTGCGGTGTGCGCACAGAAATATGTTTTAATGTGTATAATGACGTATATCATTATCGACATTCTACAAGCCGAGATATGTGTAAGCATGTCAGGAGATTTACGAGGGCGTAGCGGTTATAGCCACTTCCGGCTCATTCACTGCCATCGATTTCCATTCACAAAAAAAGGCCCGCACGTGCGAGAGTTTCGTGTTGGTCGCCTACAAAACACGGCGGTGGTCTAGCAATAGCCCTGTCAATATCCCTAGCATTAGCCCTAGCGTTAGTCTTATCATTAGCCCTAGCATTAGCCCTAGCAATATACCTATGAATAGCCCTAGCAATATCCATATCATTAGCCCTAGCATTAGCCCTAGCATTAGCCCAGCAATAGCCCTAGCAATAGCCCAGCAATAGCCCAGCAATAGCCCTAGCATTAGCCCTAGCAATAGACCTAGCATTAGCCCAGCATTAGCCCTAGCAATAGCCCAGCAATAGCCCTAGCAATAGCCCAGCATTAGCCCTAGCAATAGACCTAGCATTAGCCCAGCAATAGCCCTAGCAATAGCCCAGCATTAGCCCTAGCAATAGCCCTAGCAATAGCCCAGCATTAGCCCTAGCAATAGCCCAGCATTAGCCGTAGCATTAGCCCTAGCATTAGCCCTAGCAATAGCCCAGCAATAGCCCTAGCAATAGCCCAGCAATAGCCCGAGCATTAGCCCTAGCAATAGCCCAGCAATAGCCCTTGCAATAGCCCAGCATTAGCCCTAGCAATAGCCCTAGCATTAGCCCTAGCAATAGCCCAGCATTACCCCTAGCATTAGCCCTAGCAATAGCCCTAGCATTAGCCCTAGCAATAGCCCAGCATTAGCCCTAGCATTAGCCCTAGCAATAGCCCTAGCAATAGCCCAGCAATAGCCCAGCATTAGCCCAGCAGTAGCCCTAGCAATAGACCTAGCATTAGCATAGCATTAGCCCTAGCAATAGACCCAGCATTAGCCCAGCATTAGCCCTACCAATAGACCCAGCATTAGCCCAGCATTAGCCCTAGCAATAGCCCAGCAATAGCCCAGCATTAGCCCTAGCAATAGCCCAGCATTAGCCCTAGCAATAGCCCTAGCAATAGCCCAGCAATAGCCCAGCATTAGCCCTAGTATGAGCCCTAGTATGAGCCCTAGCATTAGTCCTAGCAATAGCCCTAGCATGAGCCCCAGCATTAGCCCTAGCATTAGCCCTAGCAATAGCCCAGCATTAGCCCTAGCATGAGCCCTAGCAATAGCCCTAGCAATAGCCCTAGTATTAGCCCAGCATTAGCCCTAGCAATAGACCTAGCATTAGCCCAGCATTAGCCCTACCAATAGCCCAGCACTAGCCCTACCAATAGCCCAGCAATAGCCCAGCATTAGCCCAGCATTAGCCCTACCAATAGCCCAGCATTAGCCCTACCAATAGCCCAGCATTAGCCCAGCATTAGCCATAGCAATAGCCCAGCAATAGCCCTAGCAATAGACCTAGCATTAGCACAGCATTAGCCCTAGCAATAGCCCTAGCATTAGCCCTAGCAATAGACCTAGCAATAGTCCTAGCAATAGCCCAGCAATAGCCCAGCATTAGCCCTACCAATAGACCCAGCATTAGCCCAGCATTAGCCCTAGCAATAGACCTAGCATTAGCCCAGTATTAGCCCTAGCAATAGCCTGAGCCCTAGCAATAGCCCTAGCATGAGCCCTAGCAATAGACCTCGCATGAGCTCTAACACTAGCCGTATCCCTAGCCCTAACACTAGCCCGTTACGGGTGACAACTCAGCCCATAATCACTCTCTGGGCAATACATCGGTTACCACGTTGTGGAAATCTCGCAGCGGTTGTGCTCTGAAGGAACTATGCGCAGCCATGGGAATGTGCATGCGTGCGTGTGTGTGTGAGGTCATTGCTATTTAAATCGTTTATTTAAAATGATGATTAATATCGACCATGTTCCTAACGCGTGTGTTTTTGCGTGTGTCTGTCTTTGTGTACCCTCGTGTGTGTGTGTGTGCCCATGTATGTACGTATGCGTATTTGTGTCTGTGTGTTATGTGTATGTGTCTGTCTGCACGCATGACTTTGTTTCGGATGTTTGTGTGTGTGCCTGTGTGTATGTCTGTCTGTGTGTGTGTCTGAGTCTCTCCGTGTGTGCCTGTGTGTATGTCTGTCTGTGTGTGTGTCTGAGTCTCTCTGTGTGTGCCTGTGTGTTTGTCTGTCTGTGTGTGTGTCTGAGTCTCTCCGTGTGTGCCTGTGTGTATGTCTGTGTGTGTGTCTGAGTCTCTCCGTGTGTGCCTGTGTGTATGTCTGTCTGTGCGTGTGTCTGAGTCTCTCCGTGTGTGCCTGTGTGTATGTCTGTCTGTGTGTGTGTCTGTGTGTGTGTCTGAGCCTCTCCGTGTGTACCTGTGTGTATGTCTGTCTGTGTGTGTGTCTGAGTCTCTCCGTGTGTGCCTGTGTGTATGTCTGTCTGTGTGTGTGTCTGAGCCTCTCCGTGTGTGCCTGTGTGTATGTCTATCTGTGTGTCTGTGTGTGCGTGTGTCTATCACCCAACCCTTCCACACACACACACAGTCCGCACCAGCATCACCCCCGGGCAAGACAAAAGCCTCGCCATGTCGGACCCAAACCTCTCGGAGGACCAAATGGTCCACCAACCTCAACAGCACCACGCCATGTGGCCCATCACAGTGCAGGCCTTCCTCCTCCTCCTCTCCGCCTTCTTCCTCGCGCTCGCCGCCCTGCAGAAGAAGCGAGCGGCGACGTCTCCATCGACGTCGACGCCGCCACCGTCATCCTACCCGACTCCGCGCGGCCCGTTCGCTTGGCCCCTCGTCGGCAACGCCATGGAGCTGGGCAGCGCTCCGCACGTCACCCTGGCTCGCTGGAGCAAAGTCTACGGCGACGTCATGAAGATACAGATCGGCTCGCGTCCCGTGGTAGTGCTCAGCGGCCTGGAGACCATCAGGCAGGCGCTCGTGCGCCAAGGCGACAGCTTCGCCGGGCGGCCAAAGTTCGAGTCCTTCTCGATCGTGGGTAACGGCCTGAGCCTGGCGTTTAACAGCACGTACGGGCCCACGTGGAAGGCCCACAAGAGGATGGCGCAGGGGGCACTGAGGGCCTTCTCCGAAGAGGAGGCGCGGCCGTCGACGGGAACCTCGACTGCGTCGGCGTCAATGTGCGCTTTGGAGGAGCACGCCGCGTCCGAAGCCGCGGAGCTGGTGCGGATCTTCCTGGAGGGCAGCAAGGCCGCGACCGGCGCCGCGGGCGGCACCGCCGCCCGCGGCAGCGGCGTCGACGGCCCCCGGCCGCCGACCGCGAAAGCCGGGTTCGACGCCGTGCAGCCGCTGGCGCTCGCCGTGGCGAACGTGATCACCGCGCTGCTTTTCGGCAAGCGGTACGCGCACGACGACGAGGAGCTGGCGGGCATCGTGGCGCTGGCCCACGACTTCGTGAAGGTGACGGCGGCCGGCAACATCAGCGACTTCGTGCCGGCGGCGCGCCTCCTGCTGCCCTCGTGCCGCGACAGCATGCGGCGCTTCACGGCGCTCAACCATCGCTTCTCCGAGTTCATCAGGCGCCGCGTGTCCGAGCACCACAGGGCCCACGACAAGGTGAGTCGTGGGTGGGTGGTGGTGAGGCAGAGAGGTGATGTAGCCACCGCGTGCCCAGCCACCGCATGCGGCCAAAGCAGCTTTTGTTTGGACCTAAGGAGTCGGCGGGGGCGGGAGGGGTTGTGCAACTTGCCGGCTCCGTGCAGCACTTTAAAGGGGCTTGCAGATTCGTGGATGTTCTTTATCAAGGGCTCACCGCCGTCTCGTATTCGCCACACGGTCGCATTGTGGCTCTTGAAATGTTGAGTCTTGTGGGGTTTTTTTACCGAATTCTGGAAAACAGAAACTCTTCTTCTTATTTTGGTTGCCGACCCCTCGGTTTGGACGGGGGGGGGGGGGCTTAACGGGCGCGGCACGGGCTAGAAAAGAGACGGAGTGATGTGGTACAGGAGGCACGGGCTAGAGAAGAGACGGAGTGATGTGGTACAGGAGGCACGGGCTAGAGAAGAGACGGAGTGATGTGGTACAGGAGGCACGGGCTAGAGAAGAGACGGAGTGATGTGGTACAGGAGGCACGGGCTAGAGAAGAGACGGAGTGATGTGGTACAGGAGGCACGGGCTAGAGAAGAGACGGAGTGATGTGGTACAGGAGGCACGGGCAAGAGACGAGACGGAGTGATGTGGTACAGGAGACACGGGCTAGAGAAGAGACGGAGTGATGTGGTACAGGAGGCACGGGCTAGAGAAGGGATGGAGTGATGTGGTACAGGAGGCACAGGCTAGAGAAGAGATAGAGTGATGTGGTACAAGAGGCACGGGCTAGAGCAGAGACGGAGTGATGTGGTACAGGAGGCACGGGCTAGAGAAGAGATGGAGTGATGTGGTACAGGAGGCACGGGCTAGAGACGAGACGGAGTGATATGGTACAGGAGGCACGGGCTAGAGACGAGACGAGGTGATGTGATACAGAAATAAACGTGGAGCTGAGTGGACTTGCTGACGACCGGTACCAGCGGTGTCAAGATCGGCCTCTGTGAAGGAGGCTCGCGAAGGACGCTGCTGCTGCTGCTGGGGCAGTTGGGGGCAGTTGGGGGCAGTCGCCCCTCCAGCCATAGCGGTGGGCAAGAGGGGCGACGCTCACAACAACGAGCGGAGCGCCGGGCGGTTAAAACCGCAGCAAGTTGGCACAGTTGGGAGGCGCACGGTTGGCGCATCTGCCAGCCGGCTCAGTCAGTCGACCCATGGCACCTGCTGGGTCTGTCTCGTGAAACGTCTGTCCTCCACAGCGGCCAATGTGCGATCTCCCCGACGCTTACTCTGACCAGCGCGTTCCCCTCTCATTCCTCGCCGGAGTCAAAACTCCGCGCGTGCTGCCCCCTCTCCCTTCCGTGCTTCTTTGTCTCGCTTATATTTTATGACCCTCCAATCCTTTACACAAAATAATAATGCCAATGCAGGTGTGTGTGTGTGTACCCCACCCTCACCCTCCGCGGTAGAGCTGCCTGCCGAGTAGCGCACACAGAACACACACAGTACACAAACAGTACACAAACAGTACACAAACAGTACACACACAATACAAAATGTTTCCCCACGTCCGACTGCATAACCCGCATTGCAGAGTGTGAATTCAAACCGCGGCAAGTGTGGCGAATTTTGGACAGCAATAGGTGATAGCCGTACGAAAAGCGCGAAATCGCGCAAACCGAAGCAAAGAAATCACCCGGCGATACTAAACAAAATTAAAATGCACCTCGAGGACGCGTTTCGAAATGTTAACGCGGTGGATCGATGTCGTCACGTGACCACAGAGCAACATGACGGACGTCACTAGCTGGCTCATCTCGCTCAGCCAGGACTCGAAGTTCGACGAGAACGGGAACGTGGAGTTCCCGCTGGACAAGGTGGCCTCCATCGTGTCGGACTTCTTGGGAGCCGGTGAGCGAGAGGGTGCCATCTGGCGTGGAGGTTTCGGTGAAGGATAGCAGCAGCAGCAACAGCATCAACAACAACATCATCATCAACAACATCAGCAACAACAACATCATAATCATCAACATCATCATCAACAACAACATCATAAAAAAAAATCATCAACAACAACACGAACAACAACATCATCAACAACAAAATCATCAACAACAAACTCATCACATCCGGTGTCGTTAACAATGCGTGTATGGCCTGAAACATTGAGAAGTGGTAGGGTTAGCAGCTTGGAGGTGGGGAATAGAAATGTGTGGAGGATAGGGCAACTTGGAGGTGGGGAATAGGAATGTGTGGAGGATAGGGTTGGGCAGCTTGGAGGTAGGACATAGGAATGTGTTGAGGATAGGGTTAGCAGCTTGGAGGTGGGGAATAGGAATGTGTGGTGGATAGGGTTGGGCAGCTTGGAGGTGGGGAATAGGAATGTGTGGAGGATAGGGTTAGCAGCTTGGAGGTGGGGAATAGGAATGTGTGGAGGATAGGGTTGGGCAACTTGGAGGTAGGACATAGGAATGTGTGGAGGATAGGGTTAGCAGCTTGGAGGTGGGGAATAGGAATGTGTGGAGGATATGGTTGGGCAGCTTGGAGGTGGGGAATAGGAATGTGTGGAGGATAGGGTTAGCAGATTGGAGGTGGGGAATAGGAATGTGTGGAGGATAAGGTCGAACAGATTGGAGGTTGAGATTAGAAGCAACCTTTGACCATGAGCGGCTGAGTGAGCGATTTAAATTCTCACGCCGTTTTGGATGAGCTACAGAGGACTCGAGCTCAGTCTGTGATTAATTAGAACGAGAACAATCTGAGCACCAACACTGGGAGTCGGAATGTCCACAATAGCCGCCCCCCATCCTCCCCGCCCCAGTGCAGTTGCACCGCCTGCACACTCGCGGCTATGTCGCTGAACCCCTGTCTGTGCTCGCCGTGATGCAGGGTTCGACACCATCTCCACGACACTCAGCTGGAGCATGCTGTACCTCGCCGCCTACCCGGACACACAGGAGCGTATCCACCGGGAGCTTGGTGAGTGCTGTCACTCACCACCGCCAACCACTCACCACCACCAACAACAACCACTCACCACCACCAGCACCCACTCACCACCATCACCCACTCACCACCACCACCAACCAGTGACGTGCGGTGAGGTCAATGGCTGGGCACTGGCGAATATCAGAGCCAAATTTACACACTGAGGGGGGCGTGTCCTCGCTGAGGGGGGCGTGTCTGACACGCCTCCCTCAGTGAGGCAGACGTGATAGCTGCCTCCCCCCGGTGCTTTTTCATTGCAGTTTCATGACTAGACCAGCGAGCCTAACTACATACGTGAAATAAGTTACCTGGATTATGGCAGGCGAGGACATGTAATGAAGGGGTCTACAAACATTACATTGGTGACACACTGAGATAGTAACAGGCACGCGCTTATTGCCCGTGCTCCATCCAGTTACTGAGGGGTTGCGCAATTGGAGGGGAGGCTGAGCTCGTCGCTGCCTCACCTCTCGCCTCTTCCTGTATTTGCAGCGGAGCTCCGCAAATTTGGCGATTTTTACTTTAAAATTATTGGAATCGTACAGAAATGACATTTATAACACAGATCAGTGGAAAAATCTTGAATTTTTTTTAGTAGCAGATATTTTCATTGAAGTGTGTCAGGTGAGGCTCTGCCTCTGCCTCACCTGACCGCACGTGACTGCCACCAACCACTCACCACCACAAACCACTCACCACCACCAACCACTCACCACCACCAACCACTCACCACCACCACCAACCACTCACCACCACCACCAACCACCCACCACCACCAACCACTCACCACCACAAACCACTCACCACCACCAACCACTCACCACCACCACCCACTCACCACCACCAACCACTCACCACCACCACCAACCACTCACCACCACCACCCACTCACCACCACCAACCACTCACCACCACCACCACAAACCACTCACCACCACCACCCACTCACCACCACCACCCACTCACCACCACCACCCACTCACCACCACCACCCACTCACCACCACCAACCACTCACCACCACCACCAACCACTCACCACCACCACCAACCACCCACCACCACCAACCACTCACCACCACCACCACCCACTCACCACCACCAACCACTCACCACCAACTACTCACAACCACCACCCACTCACCACCAACCACCCACCACCACCAACCACTCACCACCACCACCCACTCACCACCACCACCAACCACTCACCACCACCAACCACCACCAACCACTCACCACCACCAACCACTCACCACCACCAACCACTCACCACCACCAACCCGTCACCACCACCAACCTATTCGTCACCACCAACCACCAGTGGCTAGAGTTGGGCAGAATGCACCAACGTGACGCGACACCGGTTGAGATGTAACTCTGGAATATCGGCAAAGTGAACGCGATGTTTCATGCACATTTTAAATGCACTGCAAAGCCTTTATGTATCACCGTGTACTATTTATGTGAAATGCATCAGACTACAGCACTTTAAAAAAATCACCTTAAACACCGCCAGCCACCTCGCACCGTCACAATATTCTACACCCCACTAAATTGTGCCCACAATTACAAAGTGGGGTTCATTTGGGGGGTATAACGACACACGCAGCTGTGGTCACGCAATGCCATCGGCGGGGTTCATTTGAGGGGTATAACGACACACGCCGTTGTGGTCACGCAATGCCATCGGCGGGGTTCATTTGGGGGGTATAACGACACACGCCGTTGTGGTCACGCAATGCCATCGGTGGGGTTCATTTGGGGGGTATAACGACACACGCAGCTGTGGTCACGCAATGCCATCGGCGGGGTTCATTTGGGGGGTATAACGACACACGCAGCTGTGGTCACGCAATGCCATCGGCGGGGTTCATTTGGGGGGTATAACGACACACGCCGCTGTGGTCACGCAATGCCATCGGCGGGGTTCATTTGGGGGGTATAACGACACACGCAGCTGTGGTCACGCAATGCCATCGTCGGGGTTCATTTGGGGGGTATAACGACACACGCAGCTGTGGTCACGCAATGCCATCGGCGGGGTTCATTTGGGGGGTATAACGACACACGCAGCTGTGGTCAAGCAATGCTTCCTCTGCACCGCTCACAATTGCAATGTGGGGTTCCTTTGTGGGGGTATACCGACAGACGCAGTGGTGGGCAGGCAGAGACGACCGTCACTCAACGACCGCCGCCAGTTACCCTTCACGGAAGCCTTCATCCTGGAAGTGCTGAGACACTCGTCCGTGGTTCCATTCACCATCCCACACAGGTGAGCGCCGGTTTTCTCAGGGAACTCCGGTTCTGAAGCCACGACCTATCCGCTGCTGGGTGAAGGCCTCTGCCCCCCCCACCCCACCGCTGTGCCACACTGCACGACGCTGACGAGTGCGAGCTTGGTGAGGGGCGCCCGTGACCGGTTTAGAGAGCACGCCCCGCTGACGTGAGCCATAGCCCGGGACGCCGGGTTCACGGCGCAGTGTTCAAGCCACGGTGCCACCGCCCCACTCTCTCCCAATTTGTATCGGCACGATCATCATCATCAGCAGCAGCAGTGGTGATCTATCCACGACTGGATGAAAGGCCTCCTTCAACAAGCCACCATCACGATCTCTCACGGCCGTGCAATGCTACAGTCCAGAATCTGAATATTTATTTTAACTGGAGGAATCCTGATGAGCTATAAAGCTCTCTTTCACAGATGTCGAGTAGGGGCGGGTCAAGCAGCCCGCGAGCTGATCTCCGCGTTCCATCTCCGCGGCGAGGAGATATAATCCAGTGGCTCTTAACCTGGTGTGCACGCACATCCTGGGGGTGCGAGATGCCCTTTCAGTTTTTTTTAAAGAAAGTAAATCATCGCAAAGACAAACTAAGCACAGGCACCTAAGTACAACTTACTTTGTTTCATCAAAGCTATGTATTTATTTTAAAAAAAAGGCCTGCAGTAAAGGTTAAGAACCACTGATTTAATCCATTAGCTGGAATGATGAAGTTGGCACCCCTACCACCAGCGTGTCCCATCCCTCCCCCCCACATCACCCCAGCCAACCACCACCACCACCTCCACCACCCTTTCTAATCGGAGTGTTTCGCTTCTCCAGCACCACTCGCGACACCGTGCTGCAGGGCTTCTTCATTCCCAAAGACACCTGCATCTTCATCAACCAGTGGCAGGTGAATCACGACAGGTGAGTGGTGGCCATAATGAGCGGGACACGTCGATCATTTATCATCATTATGATTTCTCTTACTCTTGGCTACATCACCACGGGAGGGGGAGTCGAGTCTAAACTAAACAATTTTTGATTTAAAGTTGACTGCAGTGATTCATATTCTTGGTTCTTTCGGTAAAGTCACGTTGAAGGGAAAACAATAAAATAATAAAATATATATAACAATAAAATTCTCACGACGTTTCGACTGCAACACAAGCAGTCATCATCATGATAATTTTATTGTTTTATATATATATTTTATTGTTTTCCCTTCAACGTGACTTTACCGAAAGAACCAAGATTATAAACAATTTTTCTTATTTTACCAGCTAAGGCCCACTTGAGCTCCATAGCTCCTTTTCAGAAGCGAACTGACCGCAAACGATATCTGAACGAAGTGGCTTATCGAGTGGAAATGTAAAGCAGCCAAATGCTCTAAACGCGTAGATGTTGATTCTAAATGTGGAGGGGAAACCCCGGAGGACCGGGAGAAAAATCCACAACGACCACAGAGAGACGCAAATTCCAAATATACAGCAGCAGGCGTCAGGGTCGGGATCGAACCTACGACGTCCTGTATACCAGGCGAGGTAGTTAACATCTCGACCCCACGAGACAAGGATGCAATGCAATGGGGGAAAGGAGCGGGAAAGGGAGGGGAGGCCGAGGTTGGAAGTCCCCACCACCAAGAGGAGGAGGGCCGGGCAGGGACGGGAGGGGGAGGAGGAGCGATGTAACAAGCAACTCTCATGGCCGGTCGCGTGGCTTATGGGACGCGTGAACGAAACATAAAGATAACTTTTATTTATTTTTTGTATGTGGAGAGACGGACCCGCGAAGTAGGGGAGGAGAGCGGGCCGACTGGCCGATTATTTATTCCGTTTATTGTTATCATTGCGTCTCTCTGTCCACGGCCATGCTCAACGGCGATGATTTTGCGATACGGTGCAGGAATTATTAAGACCGCGACGCGGCTTCATCCGAGCAACCCATTGACGACTCGTGGCTATAGAATGAACGCTGGCGGTCGCCGACAGCGATGATGCAGCAACCGCGATTACGACGCCAATTCATCACAAACCTCATCCTTCCGGTTGCCGAACGAATACATTGTTATGAAGGAGCCATAAACCATCATCACGGGAACTCCGCTCATCCCCGCATCAGCACTGGCTTTTGGGCTGGCCCACCGGCATTGCGCGCTTTTCAGATGCGCTTCTGCGGCCGTCTGGAACGCTCTTCCTTCCGATATTAGGAAGCCACTGGAGCTGCGCACTTTTAAATCATCATCATCATCATCTAGATTGACAAGCTCATTGCTTTAGAAGCGCTCTTTGTGCTCAGTCTGTTGTCCTTCCCGCGCAACTCCGATTAGCCACGGTTGGCTGCGTACGTTGCGAAAGAAAGTCCAACGTACACACACACACACACGCACGCGCGCATTCTCATCATCACCGACCTCCTCTTCCCTCTGCGTGCAGCGCGCTCTGGGACGAGCCGTTCGCCTTCCGTCCCGAGCGCTTCCTGAGCGAGGATCAGTCATCCGTGGACCGCACGCGCGCCGCCAACCTGCTGTCCTTCGGCACGGGCAAGCGACGCTGCATGGGCGAGGCGGTGGCTCGCTCCGAGCTCTTCCTCTTCCTCTCCATCCTCCTGCACCACCTGCGGATCCGCACGGCCGACGGCCAAGCGCCCGACATGTCCGCGGTGTACGGCCTCTCGCTCAAGCACCGCACGTGCCTGCTGCTAGCCGAGTCGCGGAGCTGAGCACGCGCGCTGCACGTGCTCTTACGTGTGTGTGTGTGCGTGCGTGCGTGTGTGTGTGCGCTGGGGCGGTGGTGGCCGCTCACCACCACCCCCCCACCCCACCCCACCCCCATCGAGTGCCGTGCCGGCCTTCATAGGCGCTGTTCGTTGACAGCACTTGCCCGAGAAGTCTGTTGAGGCTACAACGGGGGGATCTTTGTCTTTGTGCGGCGGGTGTGGGAAGCGGTGGCGTTAGTCGTCCGCGCGCTGCGCTACAAATCCGGCGACCCGAGTTCGATTTCCGCTCACGGCCACCAGCACCAGCGATGATTATCTGAACCGGTTCTGGGCCTCCCTTAGGTCAAATCAGGCTTCAATGAGTACCTGGTGCAATGTGAAAACATCGCCACTCGACTGACAAGGGCGGCCTGGCGTGGTGTGCCGCTCCCGCCTTCATAGATGCTCGCTGACAACACTTGCCCCGACAGTCTGTTGTGGCTACACGGGCGATCTTTGTCTTTGTGCGGCGGGTGTTTGTTGGCGCGGTCTGTTTCCGTGACCTCCTTGGGCAGCTCGGCCTTCGACACTTCACGTGACGGTCCTCAAAGTGCACCTAGCCTGGCACGAGCGCTGCGGTGACGTCGCCATCGCTCAGCTGTGAACGGCGGCTCCTGATGTTTTGGTCGCTGCTGTCGCCAGATTCCCAGCCACGACTATCAGGCGCGGTCTCATGGCTCGCCAAGGTCGACTCAGCCTTAAAAAAAGATTATCTGCTGTGGTGTGTGAACATCATCAGCACTAGGGTGGGGGGGGGGGAGAGAAATTCGGCCGGGCGTGGTGCTCGCAACACCACCCGCTCGTGTGTGCCGTGCCGGCCTTAATAGGTGCTCGCTAACGGCACCCACCCCAACAGCCCGCCTGTGACATGGAGGAGTCTTTGCCTTTGTGTGCGAGTGATATTGCCTTGGCTGGCGTCATTCATGTGCGGAAATGATGACAGGTCCTGAATGGCTCAGGAAATATGTTGTGCAGGCAATGCCAGGTGGTCGTGGTTAGTTTATCCCCCCTGGATGATGATGGTGGTGGTGGATATTCTAGATGATGATGGTGGAGGAGGTTATCTTTGAAGCTGGTGATGACATTGGTTATTTTGGATTGAGAGTCGAGGTGGTGGAGAAGTATTTTTTTTATGTTGATGATGATAATGCTGCTGCTGATGATGGATGTTTGGATAATGGTTGTGGTGGTGTATATTTGGAGTGATGAGGATGATGGTGGTGGTGATGCTTAGAAGGGTAATGACTTCGATGATATTGATGGTGATGATATGAATGACGATGATGACATTGATGATGATGGTGCTCATATTGATGATGATGATGCTGGTGGTGGTTAGCTACCATGCGACTCGCATCCCTACCCCGTGTGTTCGTGTCACCTTGACGAGTTGAGAGGTCACGTGACGACTCCGTGATGGTGACACTGGCTGCCGTGACTGTTATTTTAAAATTGCACGCGACTGGCTAAGCGTGCAACGAATACTCGCCAGACAGTTCCTTTTTTTAATGTAAAATCAAAGTAAGGGTAAAGGCGCAGCCCTGCAATTGCTTTGCTCTCGCCACTTCAGACGGAAGGACCTCTGCCAGGGGAGCTCCAAGGACCTCCGCGAGAGCACCTCCTCGAGGGGACGACCTCCTCGAGGGGACCTCCTCGAGGAGACCTCCTCGAGAGGACCTCCTCGAGGAGGCCTCCTCGACAGGACCTCCTCGAGAGGACCTTGAGAGGACCTCCTCGAGAGGATCCCCTCAAGAAGACAACCTCCTCGAGGAGACCTCCTCGAGAGGACCTCCTCGAGAGGACCTACTCGAGGCCTCCTCGAGGACGACCTCCCCGAGGGGACCTCCTCGAGGAGACCTCCTCGAGAGGACCTCCTCGAGAGGACCTCCTCGAGAGGACCTCCTCGAGGAGGCCTCCTCGAGAGGACCTCCTCGAGGAGGCCTCCTCGAGAGGACCTCCTCGAGGAGGCCTCCTCGATAGGACCTCCTCGAGAGGACCTCCTCGAGGACGACCTCCCCGAGGGGACCTCCTCGAGAGGACCTCCTCGACATGACCTCCTCGAGAGGACCTTGAGAGGACCTCCTCGAGAGGACCTCCTCGAGAAGACCTCCTCATTTAGAGGGTACTTGGCCTACTCTCCCACGCTAACCAGACCGCCTTATTGAATGTAGCTTGTTTTCATTCTCACACTGTGCATTTGTAATTAATACTTTATACCAAATAATGAGAGTTGGGGTTTTATTTGAAAATTGTGTAATCTCGAGGTAGGTGTGTATTCGTGTGTGTGTGTGTGTGTGTCAAAGGGGGTGGTGAATAATGACGTAGCAATTCGGACATTCTGCGCTCCACAAACCCGAGTTTGATTCCCCGCCAGGGCTAAATAACACCAGCGGCATAGGTCCTGTGTATCGATTCGTCGGCCTCGCCTAGGTCGACTCAGCCTTTAAAGAAGGACGTTGTGTGCTGTGTAAACATCAGTAACCTGGGTTTGATACAAAGGCGGCCGGGCGTGGTCCCTGCCTACACACATCATGTTCCGTGCCGGCCTTCATAGCTGTGCGCCAACAGCACTCGCCCCCAAAAGTCTAGTGAGGCTATATGGGGGGGCGGGGGGGGGGGGTCTTTGTCTTTGTGTGTTTCCAGAATGGGTAAATATATATGGTATTAGGTGCCGTGTTTGTGGAATTTTATACGAAAACATTTTTTTAAATATAAAATTCCGAGCATGATTAAACTGGTAGCTGCTAAGGCCTGAAGCCGACCTTACATTTGGGCCATCCAGTCGCGCGCACCTTGAGGTCGCGCGCAACTAAATTGCTCAGCAGTCGCGCGCAACCAGTTGATTCCTGGTGGCGACAAACGGGCTTACCGCTCACGCGATCCACTCAGCGGGGTTCGTGGCCACGTGTTTCGTCACGTTGCCCACATTCGCCAACCGAATGTGGGCAACGTGTGGACAAAGCGGTTGCAGGCAACTTGGTCGCGCTGGGGATTTCGAAAGAGCGATTTTGGGTTTGTGCAAATCATTTGGCGATGGCGCTGCTGCTGCTGCTGCGTTGGCGGGTGAGCATCACCTGCCAATAAAAAAGAGAAACTCAAAAGAAAAAATAACAAACTCAACACGTTCGTCAATAATCACACACGCGCGCATGTGTGTGTGTGGCCTTCAAAAAAGGACGGGTATATGGTAGGCGACGTTTCTAGCAATGCCTCTTCTGCGTGTATTCATGCGCGATTAAGAATGCCCATTGCTCGGAACGTCACCTCTAACATACCTTGTCCTGTAATATTATATGTATGCAAAAAGGTAACGTTCCTGTGCAATGGCCCTTTATGCCTTTACGCGTTATGAAGAAGGGCCATGGCCTGAAACGTCGCCTATTATATATTTTCCTTTTAAAGCCGCACAAAGTGTTGTTGTTGACGAACGAGTTGAGTGTTTATTTTGTGATTAGGCTGCGAGGACCCCCCCCCTCCCCCCACTGACTCGAGTGTAGAGACGGCGCTTGGCCCAGATAATTGCTCAGTTTTTAAACGTGTGTAGGTTTTATATCATGAGACTGTTGTATGTGCACAGCAAGTCCTCGTTTAGCTCGGTAGTAACAGGTGCGTTCCTGAAAAGTGCCGTTCAAAGCGAAAACAATTCCCCCCCCCCCCCCCAATAAATAATGTCGTAACGATCAATGTTGGCGACATGCGACCGATGTACTTACTAGGGCACACCGCAGAGTGAGATGCCGGGACTAATGAGTGAGCGCACGTCACCCTGTTACTGTGTCACTCCACGTGACGTATCGCCCCGCTCAGCCGCGCAGATCAAGAACGGAGTTCGTCGCAGACCACTCGTGAATCGCGTTATAAACAACCGTGTGCGTCCCGCGTTATAACGGGGGGGGGGGGGCACGTTTCGCGTTATAATGGGGGGCACGTTTCGCGTTATAACGGCGGGGCACGTTTCACGTTATAATGGGGGGCACGTTTCGCGTTATAATGGGGGGCACGTTTCGCGTTATAATGGGCGGCACGTTTCGCGTTATAATTGGGGGGCATGTTCTGCATTATAACGGGGGGATATGTTCCGCGTTGTGCTAAAAGTGCTCCCTCGTAGAAGAACCGAGTTATAGCGAAAACGCGTTAACCGAGAACTTAGCGTCGAGTCAATAAATTAATATCACTGTCAGGGGCTTGGGATTGAAGTCACCGCTGCTGCTGCTGTTGTTGTTGTTATTATTATTGTTGGCCAAGTGACGATTCCGAATCGACGCCTAGCGATTCACTGCCGATCCGTGTCTCAACCACACCCCCACCAACTCACTGATGCTATTCTCACGATTCTCATTGAAGAACCCATTGTTTGCGTTGTCTTCGTTTGCTTTGTCTCGTTCGCGTTGCCCGTCATTCATCCCGTCAGTAGCACCGATAAACAAAATGACATTGATTCTTAGATGCACGTGTATGTGTGTACGTTGAACTTCTTTCGCACCGTACGTTAGCCAACCGTGCTAATCGGAGGTGAGCACGGGTGGCAAGGCAATCCCCCTGTCAGCCCCCACTCTCCTGCTCATCACGATTCTAATGTAATGTAACAAAGTAAGTTGTAACTTACGTGCCCGTGCACGTGAATGTCGAATCGTTGTTTTTTTTTTTTACTCCTCACACTTCGTTACGTGCCTATCAAATTAGCATCGACCCAATTAATGTAATGAGTGTTTAGTGGATTTGGGGTTTTTAAGTTTGTTTTGGTGACATTAAGCTGAAAGCAGCAGCCTCTCGAGCAGTTGATCTCAACCTCTACTGCAGCCTTTGCACCCGTAAATTAAAATAAAAAAATGTATTAATGTAAATTAAAAAAAAGCATAGCGTTTGATGAAACAAAGTTGTAACTTACGTGCCTGTGCTCAATTTGTGTTTGCGACGATTTAACTTCTAAAAACAAGTGTGGCCATGTCTCGCGCCCCCAGAAAGGGCGTCTCGCACCCCCAGGGAGTGCGCGCACCCCAGGTTAAGAACCGCTCCTCTAGAGCATATAAAATTTGGAGCTCATATATGTGAATGCA